TTAATAATATTTATACAATAATAATAATATAAATGAATTACTTATTTAACAATCATTATCTAGAATCTCATAAATATGAATTATTAAAATCATTATATAAAGTTTGTGTTTGTGAATTTTAATTTTATATTTAAGACTATTATATTAAATAATATTTAAAAGCAAATTCTATTAATTTAAGATGTAAGACCAAAGTCTTCTTTAACCAAAATAGTTTGAAGTTATTTTCAATCGTGAATTATATGGAAATTTAATTGATGCTAATTCATTAAATTGTGATGGATTCTTGCGTTAATCTATTTAATACACATCAGAAATAATGATTTGTGATTTAATTTTGCTTTTGGAATTAGGGTAATTGAACAATCTAAAATTGAATATTTCAGGTTACTTTGAATTAATGAACTTGATTTAAGATAAAGCAAAATGCAATCAACATTGTATATTAAAATATTGTCTCATTAATAAAAATGAATAAGGCAACTTTTAATTGGTTTCGAAAATCAAACCTCATATAAATTATCCTTCTTTAATAGATTAAATTGATGAATTCCAAGCAAAACTTTCATAATTAGTAGATGAAAATTAAGGTCAAGATTTAGATGAAATATTCAATTAAGCACTTGTTATTTAAGAAAAATTTAAATCACCTATAAAACCATCATTATAAAATGAGAAAGATGCAATGTTTTCTTGTATTTAAAATAGATTTTTTATCAAATAAAATTTGTTAAATAAATAATTTAGTGAATAATAAGACTCATTAGAGTACTTTAAATATATTTACAATGTAATTGAGAACTAAAATTGCTTTTATTAAATATTGGGTTAATTGATTGAAGCTGATTTTAGCACTTTAAAATATATAAATGAATTTGTTAAAAATTTTTAAAATTAAGAAGGAAGTATTATAATCAATGATTTTGAATTAAATAATTATTATATAATCAATTTGTAACATGCTGAATAAAAAATAAACGAAAAAAATATTTAAGTTGAGTGGTAATAATCAGAAAATAAAATTTAATTCTTTTAAAATATAAAAAATTACTAAAATTTATAGGGTAATCAATTTAGAAATAATTAAAATTATTTATCAGAGAATATATATTTTACTAACTTCTAAAAAGCATTAATTAAAGAATTAAAAATAAAATTTTGGATTTTTCTATATTAACAAGATCAAAATTATCTTGTTGAATTTGGGGAAGAAATAGTCAAAATATTTAATAAATATCAAATATCAATTATTTTGAAATCAGAAAACTAATTACATTTTCAAAAATTCATAAAGATTATATTAGATTGTGATGAAATGAATGGAGTAATTGAAAGAATTTTAGAATATAAAATAAATCTAATTCATAAATATGTTTTAGATAATTTCAAAAATAAATAGATTTAGTTAAATAAAAAATTAGATGAGTTATATTAGATAAATAAAAGAATTTATTTACCAGAATTAAAAAATCATCCTTCTTTAACATAATAATTAGATATTATATTCGATTATTGTAAAAGAATATAAATAATGATTTAAAATTTAGATAGTAGTGAGGAAGTGGATTTCACAAATTCTAATTAATTAAAAATTTTATCAATTTTCATTCAAAATATTTATCATTATACTGAATAAGATAGAGAATTAACTCAATTTACAAATAAATTTTGTCCTAATTTAAGTATTTCCAAATCTACTTAATTTCAAAAATATTTTAAAAAAATTGAGTAAAAAATAGCGAAATAAAAATTATTGGAATAATTTAATAATAAATAAAAGAATGAATTTGAACCAAAAAATTTTTTTTATTCAATTAATATTTAGAAATTAATGAAAGCACCATAAACCTTTGATTAATTACAGTGTGCATTATATTAAAATACAACATGGGATAATTTTCATAATTCATTAATTTAAGAGTTTGAAAAATAGATTCAATCCAAAAAATATCTAGAACAAAGTTAGTTAGTTGATAAACCTAATAAAATTTAATAATTAATAGACAATATACACAATTAATATTCTAAGAAATGCTTGGATATTTTTTTAAAACCTCCTTAAAATTTAAAAAAATTTAAATTAGATAATTAGAATATAGAAGAATCAGAAATCAAGAAAAAAATAATGGATTTTTATTCAAATTAATTAATGGAGAATTTGAGATCATAACTATAAAATATTCAATTATAATGACCAATATTATTAAATGTATATTTCTATCTTTTTTTAAACAGTAAAGTTTAATAATTCCATATTGATTAATTTGCAATACAATAATATATCATATTCATTTAATTTATTATTTCTATTGTTAGTAATTATTATAAAATCAAATAATTTTTAATAAGATTATTAAAATGATGATATAATGAGAAAATAAAATAATCTAATCATTTTAATTCTGTCAAATCTTCAAAACTATTTCCAGACTACTTTTTTTAAGGTTAATCCCATATAATCATATCATTATCTTCATTTTCTCCTATTTCCATATCTATTTATATTTTTGAATTAAAAAATAAAGATTCTCTTAATTTTTTAAAAGTTAATTAATTTTCTATTTGATTTTCTTTTTCCATTATTTTTGGATCTCTCCAAAATTATGGTAATTACCAAACTTTAATTCTTTTATCTTTTGATGCAGTTACTAATGTTTTCTCTGAATCAAGCCATTGCAATTTTGTAATGTCTGAATCATGAGCTTTTAAAACAACTAAAATTAATATATATATTACATAATTAATTAGAATTTCTAGCATCCCAAATAGTAACAGTTCCATCTACATTTCCTACATAAATTTCACCTCTTTTTGAAGACCAAGATATCTCTCTACTCTTAATTTTTCCATTTAAATTTGTTATTTATTTAGCAAATTACTCCTAACCAGGATTTTATATATCTATTATTATAATAATTCCATTTTCATGACTAACAGAAAATAAATAATTTCTTGAATGATCAATAAATAATCCTCTTAAAAATAATTAGTTCGTTGTAATTTTAATCATATAAGATGGCATTTACTTGAATAATTAATTTAATCTACTTTTTCTATATCATAAATAAATATTTAGCCATGTCTATCACCAATAAAAACTTTTCTTCTTTCATCACTAGCTAATAAACTGGTTAATTCATACTGGTCTGGTATAAAATCTATTTTAGAATAAGTAAAAACCTGCTACCAATTCTTTCATTCGTAAATTAAACACTTTATATTTATGATCCTTTGAAATTGAATGTATATATTTATTTCTTCTATCATAATACAATCCCATTATTCTACCTTTATGTTATTCAATTTCTTAACTTTCTTAATATCTTTAGAATCCTTCTTTCTCAAGAACAATCAGATAGTTTATAGATCCACTATCTAAACCAACCAAGAGAACAGATGCAATATTATCCCAATAACATGTTATTGCTTAAGAATTATATAATTTTGCCCATAATTTTTAAAATTCACCATTTTATGTCTAATGCCAACATTCTACACTTCCTACAGCAATTTATGTTACTTCATCTTTTTCAGATTCCCAAGGACCCTTTCTATTTGTTAAATAAGCATCAATTCTATTTATTACAGAACAATCAGATGTTAAAACAAACATTAAACCACATTCTGAATTTAGAATAAAATCTCTTATTCCTAACTAAAACTCTTTAAATTAAAAGATTAATTAAGGAGGATTAACAATAATTTCTTTTGCATTTTTATCAATTTCAAAAAAGTCTTTAAAAGGATTAGAAGCTACAATTTCAGGTCTATTAACTAATTCCTATTTTATTAACAATTAATTACTTATATAAATTAATCTAATCCTATTTTTCTTTTTTCTATGTCCTCTTAAGATTTACCAATTAAAAATGTAATATATTTCTTTTTTGGCAAAGATGGTAATTATTCCCCAAAAAATACCTTTAATTTTTTTAATAAATCTTCAAATTATGAAAATCTTGAATCTCATTATACAGTACTACCTTCTATCAATTCTCCAATTATCACCACTTTTATCTAAAATTTATATTGTATAATAAATAGCGCTTTCGTTAGGATCATTTCGATGAGAGATTACATGAGCCTTAATTTAATTTATTATCTATTACTTAAAGTGGGGAATTTGAGTGCATAATTATAAATAATATACTACAAAAAATATAACAAATTACAAAATTTATAAATTATTATTAATAACTTATAATAATTAAAATTGTATCATGTTGAATAATCTGCAAAAATAAAATAGTAAATAATAAATTAAAATCCTATTTAGATATAATTAAAAGTCTAAAATCTATTTAACATGAATTCATTTAATATTTTTTAATTTCTATTATCACATAAAAATAAATCTAATTTATCATTTATTAACTAAGTAATAATGTTTTACAATCAATACAAATGTTTTCTTGAGTATTAAAAAACATTAATTTTTCTTAAGTTAATTAATAAATCTGAAGTATGGAAGCTCGAAAAATAATTGAAGATGTTTTTATTTGAAAGATTAGATTAGTGATTCTTATATATATATATATCTTTGAATTTAATAACATAATTTTATAAAATTATAATTTAAAGTATTAATGTACAAAAACTAAAAGAATATCTGTTAATTATTTTTTTCAATTTGATTATTTTTTATATTTACTATAAAGATTTAGAAATTACTGAAATAACAAGATTAAAATGATAGAATTATATTTTTTTTTTAAATAGATGATTAATAGATTAACATGGAGACAATTTTAAGTATATGCAAAATATATAATCATATATTTTATAAGTTTTTAAGAATTAATTATAATATTAATATTCTATTTTTTATATTAATTTTACTATAATAAAGGTTACTCTTGCTATATTGTTATTAGAGAGTATAGTTCCTTCAACATCAATACATGATTAAATAATGGCCTTATTTACACAGATACAAAAGCAATAGATGCTATTGATATAATATTTGGTATATTTGGATGATCTAGTGTAATTAAATAAACATGACTAATTTGCAGCTGATTAAAAATAAAACTGATGCATAGATTGGAGTATAGTAGTTTAATTTTATATAAATGGAAAAATTGAATAATTGATAAATATAAAATCACTCAACTAAAATAGAGAAGCTCTTTAAGTTTTAGAATACTTAAACAAGATATTGCTAATTATATCATAAATAGTTATTCATTTAAATTAGTTCAAGAGAAAGTTACATGTGTTGCTGAAAAACTTAAAGTATATAGCAATCTTTTTAAAGAAATTGACGTTAAAATATTGTTGTCTTTGGCTTAATCCGAATAAGTAGAAGAGAGTAAACAGAGGAGTTACATTGTCTGGAATTCTTGAATCGCTAGAAGTAAAGGAAATTTAATCTTCATGGGAATTGACTGATGGGTTTCATTTAAATAAGGCTAAAGTCAAATTCTTACAAGTTGAAAATGAAAGAAAACAAATATATGCTGACACTTTGGCAACTGTAATAATTAAATTTCAATTGATTAATAAATTAAAGAAGTCTTGTCTTAATAAAGAAAATCAAAGATCATTCTCAAAATGCTCTTGAATAAACTTAAGCAGACTTAGAAGACAAGAGAGCTAATTACTCTGAAGTTAAATCAAATAGAGATGATGAAAATGCCATAATAGAATATGTTATCATCGTTCAAGAGATAAGTTGCTTTTTGGTCTGGAAGTTGATTTCTATAACTAATAAAGTTATTAGTAAAAAAACAGCATTTTGGGGTTTTAAAATAATCTTCTTATTTATTTATTAATGTATTCGAATTAAATAGGAAGAGTTGAGATAAATTTGAGAGAGAAGAATTTATTAATTAATAATATTTTAACATTTGTTAATTCACCAATCTTTGAATGGATCATCTTATGGTTTAACAGCATCGGGTAATTCAGTACTGTCTGGATAAGTAGCGAAATTGGAAGTATCATAATCAGATCTATATATTCTATGATTTTATCTTACTAAATAACAGGTATATATTAAGGCTTAATTTTTTTATTGATAATATCTTTCCAATTTAATGTTTCATACCACTTATGTGATTTTATATCATCTGCTCCATTTTTAAGATTCCCAAATCGTTTAGTGACATCCTATTCTAATAAATGTTTAACTAAACTTTTTGCCTCACTTATTTAAGTTGAATTATAAACTTACTTATCAAAATTACGTGGGAACTTAACTTTGCCCTTCAATATTTTTTAATAGATAGCCATTGGATCTTCATCATTAAATGGATCAATTCCTTTGTGAATTCAAGTATAATACAAATACCTGCAAGCATTTCATAAATGAATATTCCTAAACACCACCAATCAACTGGTTTACTATGTCCTTAGATTGAGAATTAGTTTACCCTTGTTTAATAAGATTTCTGGTGCTAAGTATTCTGGTGTTCCACATAATGTATAAGTTCTGTCTTCAACCACTTTAGCAAAACCAAAGTCTGTCAACTTTAAATATCCATCTGACTAGACCAATAAATTCTCTGGTTTCAAGTCTCTATAGACAATGTTCTTTGTGTGAAGATACTCAAACATTAGAACAACTTAAGCTGAGTAGAACCTATACCTATAAATAATCATTTACTATGCTTCTTCATTTTGAACAGTCCCAGCATTTCTTAAATATGTAAATAGTTCACCTCCTTAGATATATTCTAAAACAAAATATAAGTATCGTTCGTCTTAAGTGTATCCACTCATTTCAATCTATTATAATCAATTAAAAAACATACCAAAAAAGGATGTTTGATCTATTTTAAAATATTGAACTCACTAATTATATGATCAACCTATTTAAGTCGTAATATTTCTATTTTCTTTAACATCTTCAAAGCCACATATTTGTTATTAGATTTTTGCTTAGCTAATCTCACACGACCAAATGAACCTGTTCCTAAAGTATTCATTATGTCATATTCCCCTAATTTCACTTTTTTAGTTTCCATATAATTAATATTTATATTTCCATGATCAATTTCAATCCAAAATTCAATAAATAAGTCTATAATCAAAAAAACCATCATAATTATAAGTTCACTATTATTCAATTACATAATAACTCATAAATCTATAAACAAAAATAATTAACTTAATTGTTCTCTATCAAGATTTTTACATTGTAAACTAGATTCACCTTTTATATTCTAATCAAATTTAAATAGATGATTGAATTACTTAAAAAAACTATAATACATGCATAATGTAAATTAAAATACTTAATTAAATATACTTTCCTTTCTTTAATCTTTTAAGTTTAGAAAAATTATGATAATTCTAATATTTGAATTATAATATACTTCTTATCAATTTCATCCAGATAATCATTAAATATTATTAATATTAATAACCATATCTGAATATCATAATTATTCCTAATGAAATGTATATCCATAATATATAATTCATTTTGTTATTAATCCAAAATATGATAATGAAAAGAAAATATACACAAAAGATTGAATTCGATTAATCTATAGTTAAAAGTTAAAATCCTGAAATCCCTTTTAGACCAAACTCTGGCAAATTAGCTCCCATTATTAAATCACCTTTACCGCCTAGAAAGGCAACTTTATCATAACATCAAAATTAAAGAAAAAATCAATAAGAAATGCATTAAAATTAAGACATCAAAGTTATTAAAATTCGAAGCCTTACACCTAATCAATAAAAACTATTTTAGCATAATGTATAATTCCTTATTTTATGAAAAAAAGAACCCAAGTCCTGTTAAATTAATTTAAAATTAACCAATAGCTTAATCAGAAAAGAAAATAATTGTCATTCCTAAAAGACCAGAAAAATAATAATTTAGAATTGCAAACAAAATAAATTCATCAACTGAAAAAAAAAATTAACAATTAAATGGAAAAAGTCCTAATCAAGGTTAAGAATTCAATTGGGCAAATACTGAATTAACTTAAGTAATAGATTTTTTAATATAGAAATAAAATAATATTAGGGAATAACATTATAAATAATAAAAGCCAGAATTTCTTAAAAAATAACCAAAATGTGCATAAGATTTCTCGATGACTTCTCATAAAAATGATTTGCCTTAATTATTAAAAAATTATTAATAAGAAATAAAAGAAGTTCGTTAGTAATACATTCATGATAATTCACCTCCATTAAATATGAGTGGTATAATATTATATCATAATAGAAATTATGGAAATTAATGAAGATGGTCTTTCCTCTTTAGCCCAAAGCACCTATCCTCATTAGATGCATTGAATAGAAGATAAACTATACTTTGTTGTTTTTATAATAAATTTTTCATTAAGGATCCTCCTCCCCTTCTTCTTATTCAAATTGTAAATTTAATGCTTTTCTAGGTTTATGATGGTCTTCTTCATCAATTTAACGTTTGTTGTTCTCCAATTTTGCTTTTTCATATAATTCTTTTTATTATTCCTCTAACTGCTTTAAATGCTCCTCATCTTGAAATCTTGCTTTATTTTAATTTTTAACCTTTATATAGCATCAAAACTTTACATTAACTTCCTCTTTGATTTCTTCTTCTATTTCCTTTAGAATTGGAATTTAACCTTCTAACCTTAATTTTTAAATGGCCTTATAAAAAAATTCTCCTGATATTGTTTTTTTTCCATTTTCTAAACATATAGTATTAGCTTAATCAGAAACCAATTAGATATATTCCCTAGCCATTGACATGACTTATGTCACAAACTCATTAGAACATTTCATATCCCCACTGGTTGTTGATTTGATGAATTATTGTACGGTCGCTTAGATCATAAAAAGATAATACCTTTTGGGAGCTATTCCATAATATATTATCTTTTTCATTTTTAATAATTCAATATTTTCTTTGAAATAGGATAGATGCAGTGCTTTTTTTATAATTAATGATTGGTTATAAAATTATCAAGAAGGATACATTCACAAAATCCTTTAAATTCATGAATTCTAAATTTTTTACACCATTAAACAAGCATACTCTAAAATATAATAATAAAATTAATAAATTTCTATTATCGAAAAGGATATTTTTAAAGATTTAATAAAGTTTCTCTTTTTCTTGCACTTTATCTAATTCAACAAAATCTTTAATATTGTCTAATAATATATTTTGTAAATAAAATAGTCTGTTAATTTTTACATAATTATATTTATTTTTTAAATAAATTGAATGAGCATCAACCACAAGAAAAAGATATTTGAAAACACAGCTCCTAATCCATATTTAAATACAATTGAATCTCCATAAGTTCCTAAGATTCTTGAATAATCAATAATTTATTAGAATCTGTTATAAAACAGTCAATTAGGCAATTCAAATTAATTAGAATTATCAAAATAAGTATAAAATGAACGTTAATCTTTTTCTCCTAATGATCTAGAGTAGTTTCTAATATTATTTCGATAACCATAACAAATCAATATGAAATTAGAAAATAGTTAGTCAAATTCAACTAGTTAATAATAATTCTATGAATAACTTGAAATAGAAGGAGAAAAATTAAGAATTAAGTTAAAGTCAGATGCTCGTATAGTCTAATCAATTATTGAAAAACATACAAAAATGAAATCTAACAAATAACGATGTATTGAATAAATGAATCATCTCATAAATGAAATTAAATCATTTAATAATGTTTCTAGATATTCTGAACTCAATAGATCAATAAAATACAATTTCAATTAACTTGAATCTATTTAATTAGAATTAAGAGATATATTGATGGAAGCATCCACATTTGAAAGAGTTATGTCAGTTTCAGTTTAATAGTAATAAATTCATTATTAAGAACAAAATTAACTTGATCAAACTATTGGACATTCATCAAATGAAACCTCTGAGGCTGAGTTCACATCATTATCACTTTAAATTTATTCCTCGATTGAAATGCATGCAAAGGAATTTGAGTAAACAATATCAGAAAAAAAAAGATTAATGCATATAAGCTAAAATTATCATTAATATAAATAAGTTTGTTAAGGTTTAATTTAACTTATCCAAAAGTATCCCTAATTTGAATCATAAAAATCTTAATAAATGATAAGATTAGAGAGCATTGCTTCAATATATTTTTATCACTTTTAACAAGAATTGAGCTCCTAGATTTTACATTATACATAAATTACTGAAGAAATTCGATTATCTTTGTCTATTATTGATAGGATGAAATATTTATTGGAATAAGCTAAGAATTTGGATTGTATTACAGAATTTTATTTATACATAGAAAGTTAATTGACTGGACAATAGTTGGTTATTAAATCAGGAAATAATTTAAAGTTAGCTAAAGCTTACTAAAAATAATTCAATATGCTAAATATCAATAATTATCAATATTTCCATATTCTGAGACATAAGGTTTATAATAAATGTTTATTAGAGTTTGATTAAATGTAATTTGATATAAAAACAGCCAGGAATTTGTAATCAATATTATTAGACTATGTTAAAACATTTAAACATTATATTTCAATAGATTATATTAAATTATTCAATGATGTATTAGCAAAGTTAAAATAAGATTTAAAAAAAGAATCTTGGCTTTATTTAATCAATTTATATACTGAACTAAGCTAAAAGAAATAACATTTAAAAATTATTATTTAATATTTATTAAATATTAAACATCAAAATCAATATTTAACAAAATTGATTTCAGTATTTAAATAGCTTATTGAATAATAATTAGAATTAATTAAGGATTTATAGCCTTAATTAAATCCATATTTAGAAATTAAGGATTTTAAAGCATAAAAAGAGTTTGAAAATTTTTATTCTTAATTTTTAAAATGTTATAATGAAATACAC